CTATAATTCAATTAAGGAGTACTATGATGGGGTGCCTGGCTGGCTCAGTCAGAGGAGCCTACAACTCGTGATCTCAAGAGTTGGGAGTTCAAGCTCCGTATTGTGTGATTACTAAAAAAAACAAAATCAAAAACAAAACAAAAGGAATACTACAATTCTATTTCCATATTTATTTGTACACATTTGTATATATTGGTATATACATGAAAGATGTAGAAAGATCCAAACAAATCCTTGGGATAGAGTTTTACTTTCTTCCATCCTGTATCGCTTTTCCCTCCAACCTATTCCCCAACTTCTAGGCCAAAGTAATCTGGTAGAAAAGCAAAGTGCTTTAGTATCACTCCCACCTTAAAAGGCTTCAGTGGTTCTCTAATACATTTAGGATCAAATCCATTCGACCTACCCTGCCTTCCCTGGCCTGGCTCCCACCAAGCTCTCTGGCCATTCTTGACCTTCACTGACTATACCACATCCACAGCTGCTTTCAGTCCCACTGATGGGCCAAACTCTTGCTTGACTCTGCAAATGCCGTCGGAATGCACTTTTCTCTAGTCTTCCTGAAGCTAGTTCCTTCTCCTTAGCTCAAATAAAAGTCATCTCACAGCAGCTTTCCAGATCACTCTTATTAAAGTAGATCTTGATTCAGTCGGTAGAGCATGCGACTCGATCTCAGGGTTGAGATCAAGCCCCAAATTTTTATTAAAAAAAAAAAAAATTAGGGGGGGCGCCTGGGTAGCTCAGATGGTTAAGCGTCTGCCTTTGGCTCAGGTCATGATCCCAGGGTCCTGGGATCGAGCCCCGCATCAGGCTCCCTGCTCAGCGGGGGGCCTGCTTCTCCCCCTCCCTCTGCTTCTCCCCCTGCTCATGTTCTCTCTCTCTCTCTCTGTATCTCTGTCTCAAATGAATAAATTTAAAAAATCTTAAAAAAAACAAAATTGGGGCACCTGGGTGGCTCAGTTGTTAAGCATCTGCCTTCGACTCAGGTCATGATCGCAGCATTCTGGGATCGAGCCCTGCATCGGGCTCCCTGCTCGGCGGGAAGCCTGCTTCTCCCTCTCCCGCTCCCCCTGCTTGTGTTCCCTCTCTCGCTGTCTCTCTCTCTGGAATAAATAAATAAAATCTTAAAAAAAAAAAAATAAATCAAACCCTCATTTTTCTTTCTCTACTCCCGTTTTGTTTCCTTCGCAGAAAGCACCATCATTGATCATTTTTCTGCTTTTGTTTTCTATTTTCTTCCCTCGAAGAGTAGGTTCAAAAGGACAGGATCATGTTTTTATATGCCACCAGGGTCTAGCACCTAACAAATACCTGTTGAATGCTATCCCATTTGTGAGGCAAGCCCTATAGTAATATTCCCACTTATGCCCACAGTCACTAAAAAGTACCTAGAAAACTTTAAAATATCACAATGTGTTCTTTTAAATTATTCTTTTCAGAAATGGTTATTTAAACATAAGATAATGGCTTCCAAACTTCTCTCAACAGTAAGAAAATTACAATAGTAACTGAAACAAAAGTTCACAAAATCATACTTACCCTTGCTAAGGGAGCTGCCCTTTGATATTTTCTAGTCCATGTCGTAAGACAGTATAACCATTTTTATGTGCTTTTTCTAAACTATTAAAGTGGAAAGACAATGATGAATGATGTGTACTGCTGCAAGGTTTTGGTTTTTCATTCATGATTTCAATAAATTAAATCAATACCACTAATTCGAAAATGCAAAATTAACGTTAGGGGAAAGGTAATTCAATTACCTTACCAATTCAAAATTATCACATTCAAACTCTAGAATAACATTATAACCATATTCATTAAAAAAAAAAAGCAACCTACAGACACAGGATTTTCAGATTAGGAACCCCTTTCTAAGGAGGAAACCCAAAGTGATTTCAGATTGTAAAGAGAAGAATGAGAACCGGCGTAGGTCTTCCCATCTCATCTAATAGCAATTCTATTCCTCCTGACCTATAGGCCAAAAACCTTGGTGCCATTTTTTATTTCTCTCACTCCTCAAATCCAATGCATCATTAAATCCTATTGGCTCTACCATCAAAACACATCCAGGGGCGCCTCTTGGTTGGCTGGTTAAGGGATGAACTCTTGGTTTCAGCTCAGGGCATGATTTCAGGGTTGCAAGTTCAAATCCCACATTGTGCTCTGCTTAAGACTCTCTTGCCCTCTCCCCCTGCCATCCCCTCTCTCCCCCACCGCCAAAATAAATAAATCTTGGAAAAAAAACCACACATCCAAAATCTGATACTTCTCACCACCTCTCACTGCCACCAGCCTGGTCCAAGCCACCACCACCTCTTGCCCAAATTACTACAACAGCCTCCTATAACTAGGCTCCTCAATTCTTCCTTTGCCGTCCTCCAGTCTCTTTTAAACCATGCAGAGAGTGATACTATTAAATCATTAAGTCACATCATGACACTCCCCTGCTCCAGCGTGGGTTCCTAGCCTACACAAAGTCAAAACCCTTCCTAAAGCCTGCAGAATTATACTTGATCTGCCCTCACCTAACCATGCTCACCTCATCTACTACCATCCGGCCACTATGGCCTCCCTCACTTGGCCTCAAACAACACCAGACAAACTCCCACCTCAAGGCCTTCAAACTTGCTCCCTCTGACAGGAATGCTCTTCCTGCAGATATCCACATGGCTAGCATCTTTAACTTCCTTCTGGCCTTTACTCTAGTCATGTTCTTAATAAAACCAACTCTGGCCATCATACCTAAAATTTCAACCCCTTACCCTTACACCCTCATCCCATATACGTCTACAGTCCTCTTCGCTGCTTTGTTTTTCTTCTTAGAACCTACCACTACCTAACATAGCATATATTACAGCTATTCACTCAGCTTACTGTCCACTCCCCATAGATTAATCTCCATGAAGGCATAAATACAGCATATCCACTGCTGTATCCTAAGCACCTAGAACAGTATGTGACACATAATAGACACTTGATAAATATTTGAATGAGCAAGTGAATGAATGAACAGGCTTGGAATGAACAAGAAAATAGGAACTGAGATGACAGAACACATTAAGTAAGAAGAGCTTAGGTAAAGAGCTGCAGGTAAAGAGCTGTGGCTCAAGCTTCATGGGCAGCTCTGGCATACCTGTGATGTCTCTGGCTCTACCAACATGTGTGAACCAGGTTAGCAACCACTACTCAAGATTGAATGAAGGTCCACTACAGGCACTGAGTGTTCCTTCCAAGTTCATTATGTATTCTAAATCAATCAAGTAGAAATTTGGGGGAAATGAAACCACAAACGAAAAACATTATTACCTACCATTACGAACTATGCTTTAACAGGCTACAATCCACAACTTTAACTTACAATGAGGTACATATGCACCAAAGGACTAAGCTAAGGCTAGAATTCTGAAGTAATGCTATGTACACAAGAGAAATCAAGGGATCTACCTAAACCAGATTCTGCCACTCATCAACCATACAACCAAAATCTCTGTAAACCTGTTTCTCATCCTGTTAACATAGGGATCACTACATCCAAATCAGATGTACCCTCAACTAGTAATTCAAGGATGAAATAATGGGAAAGTATTTTTAAAGTACCTTTTAAAAGCATAAAAGGCCATACCCCATTCAAATACAAGTTACTAAATTCTAAGATGTTAACTTACTGGCCATTAGGAAGATTTATTAAAAACATTGTCCTTGGGGTGCCTTGGTGGCTCAGTTGTTAAGCGTCTGCCTTTGGCTCAGGTCATGATCCCAGGGTCCTGGGATGGAGCCCTGCATCAGGCTCCCTGCTCAGCTGGAAGCCTGCTTCTCCCTCTCCCACTCCTCCTGCTTGTGTTCCCTCTCTCGATGTCTCTCTCTCTCTCTCTGTCAGATAAATAAAATCTTAAAAAAAAAAAAATGTCCTTTTGGGAACCTTTACATTTCGAAGCATTTTATAGATTTATGAATCAGAATGTAGAAAAAGTATTTTACTAGTATATTTGATTCACAGAAAGAACAGAAATTTTTTTTTCAGTTACAACAAGGTTATATTGTGCAGGAATTTCCAAGGAATTCACCACAAGATTTCATTACTCAAAATGATACACAAATAAAAAATATATATGTTAATATGTGTATATACATAAATACCTCAAAGCCTCAGGGACTGGGGTGGGTGGACTGTCAAGGAGCAAGAGGGAAGTTTTTAGGGTGATGGAAATGCTCTGTCTTAATTGGGAGTGTGATTACATGGATGAACACATTTGTCAAAACTCATCAACTGTACATTTTAAATGGGCACAATTTTTGTATGTAAAGTACACCTCAATACGTTTGTTTAGACAAAAGTCTATCCTGTTTCCTTAAATTAAAAAAAAAAAAAAATCACTCGGTTGCACCACGGCCTCAAGAACTTGCATAATGAGATCTAATGCAACAGGTTTGAAGATTTAACAAGGAAGATGAGTCAATGACCTGAAAAGTTAACTCATGACCTTCTGGGCTCAAGTTCAACTCAAATTAATAGAAAATAAAGGCAGCATAATCAGGGGGTAAAAAAAAATCTCAGTTTCTTCTCAAGAAAACCAGAAATGAATTACTTCAGAGAGCGCGGTGGAAAGAGCACAGATTCAGAGCCCTTCAAACCTAGATTGGAAGGGTTATAGGCTGTTAAGCGTGTGACCTTGAGAATCCTCAGTCCCTGAGGCTCAGTTTCCCTTTCTGTAAAATGGGGATAATGATGGCTTAAGAGTTTGGCCTAGCGTACAGTTAAGTACCCAATATATGAAATGCAATTCATGACATTATTGAAGACTCCGGAATTTAGTGCTGGTTAGAAATGCATGCAGAACAGGCCCCTCAGTTTCCGTCTAGGGGAGTTGTGGTTCCTTTCGTACGCCTTATCGCCCTCAACCAGGCTTCATTTCCCTCTTACACACACCCTGCAACTTTTCCGGTCCGGACCACCCCTCACCCGTGCAGCTCGCAGGGGCCGCCCACCTCCCGGGCCCCACCTCGTTAAGGAAACGGGTAATATCGTAGACTCGCCCGTGCATCACCAGCCATATCTCTTTCATGGAGTTGCGCTTCGCCACCTCCTCCAATCGATAATATGTGACGGAGGTCTCGGCCCCTTGCCCTTTCCCATCGCTGTCGCTTGCTTCCACAGTCGCCATTGGACCTGAAATAGCTCTTCTCTACCACTATCCCGGCTTCCGAGGTTAACTTCCTCGAGGTAGACCTTGTGCTCAGCCCTCCCCGGCTTCCGTAACTAAGGCCCCTACGGCCGTCGGAGGGATCCTGGCAACAGCCAATCACGCTCCCGAATAGTTCCTGGTTCGTTTTTCTTCTCACCAATGAAACAACGGATTCAGTTTCAAGTCCCGCCCACCTCTCGCCCGATCCTTGGAGCGTAGGCCTGGTTCGAGGTCCAACTAACCAATCAGGATCGTCTATCCCTCCAATCTCGCCAACCAGGTACGGTGATTTTGGAAAGACGCCTAATGGAGACGTGTTGACAGGTGTTACGCAAGAGAGGTTTCCCCTTCACTCAGTGAAGCGACCTGCGGAGTCCTGGAAGATGGGGCCGAGTCTCTTTTTTCCCGTTTCCCTTCCCTTCGCCATGACCTCTCCACGCGAAGCTTCTTTTCCCCCACCTCCTGTGCGGCCTGTATTCCAGCCCGGGTTTACATCTTTTTTTGCAACCTTCGGGCTGTGACGGGACGAATCACGACTGCCTCATTTTCCTCACCAGTAAAATGGGCGAGATAACTTTGGTCTATTAAATGAGAGAGTATCTGCACAGCGCTTGGCACATAGTAATCAAGGCACGAACGACAGCGGTGCTAAAAAAAAAAGCGGGGGCGGGGCGGTGCCGTAATTCGCCTAAGGCCATGGACAGGTACTATCTCAAGTCTCTGCCACTACTGAGAATCTGATTTTGTTACACGTCAATTATATCTTGAAGTTGGGAAAGGGGAATCTGATTTTTAAATTTGGTGATCAGAACATAGTATGCTATTTTCGTTTCTATGTGTTCTAAAATAAAATTCACCTCAACTATTCCCAGCTAGAGATCCCAGCATTTTGGAATTCCAAGCTTGGCTGATGTGCAGTGTTGTAAGCTCCTCATTTTTAACTGCCATTACAACTGACAGATTGACATGTAATGTCCTTTTCATCCTGTCACTCTCCCAGACTCTCCACAATCCATCCCCAACCCCTTTTACTAATATTTTCCACCATTCCTTTTATAAGACTTGTGTACCAGCCACTGACTCCTAAACCTGCTGGTAATAAAACCACTTCTGCGATCATACCAGGTGCACCGACCCTCTTCGTTCCAGTGCCTACTCATTTTCAAGCTCCTCCTGAAATTCTTTTTCACAAACTCCCCTGACATTCCAGCCTCCAGTGGTCCCATCTCCTACAGCACCAAAGCATATTACTATTTCAGGAAACCCCCTGTATCTGTAAATCTTAACTTCCCATATCTTACCTCCCAAATGAGACTGAAATTATGAGAGAAATTCCATATGATTCTTAGGATATTCCACAAACTAGATTCAAATACTTATGTTCATTTACTGAACATTTACTGTGTCACAAGTACTGTGATAGGCTCTGTGATTGAAAAGTAACATAAAAAATAGGCGTTCTGAGGGCACCTCAGTCGGTTAAGAATCTGCCTTCAGCTCAGGTCATGATCCCAGGGTCCCTGCTCAG